CCACACAAGAGAAACTTAGATTGTTCATTATTGAGGGGTTCCGTTGTTCTCACCCAAGAGTTTATGGAGTGAGAACACATGTAACATAAAATGAGAACTCGATAAATGGGGCTTGAGAGACGTAAAGAGTGAATATTTTAAAACCAATACAACTCATGCATAGCTGATAATATAGAGTTCTAGTGACTAGCACAACGAAACTCCACTTAGGTGAATTCCCTTATGGGAGCCGCTTTAACGAAGAGATTAAACTCTTTGTTAAGGTCTGCATTATCAATCACTTATAAATGTATGTTTTTAAGGTGTTACGGGTAGTTAAAAATCATTATATTTAAAAAATAATTTCTGGTTTTAAATGTAATACATTATAGGAAACTCAGAAATGTCAGAGGCGTACAAAGAAAAACAAATGCAAGAAAATGTTGCTGGGTGTATTCAAGTACTGAGACCACTAGTGTAGTGGAAAGGACGCTGAGGTGATGACCAATAGTCCTGGGTGCTAATCCGGACTGGCCAAAAGGCTATTACAGTTATTTGGCTCAATGTCTTCACTTTCTGAGCCAGAGTTTCCCCATCTGAAAAATGAAGCTGGGAAGATTTGAATTAGATGATCTTTATGAGCCTTTTCTACTCTGATGTGAAATAGAAATTCTGTTTTAGCCGTTTCATCAGCATTCATGTTTACACTTTCCATTTCCTTGGCAAATACCTGCCATGGATGTAAGAAAGTCTCTTCCAGTCTTCAGCAGAATCATCATCATTCTAAAGGAGCTCAGCCTGAATTCATGATGATTACCGTATATTTATGTATTCACTAATTCACGTATTCACTCACCCATTCATTCATTCAACAAATGAGTCACTTACCCTTCATCAGGCATGCTACTAACTACTAGGAGATGGAGATGATTAAGAAAAGGTTTCTGCGATCAAGAGACTCCCAGTTTAGTGGGGAAAATAGGCAAAACGTCCCTATCCTATCGGCATAGGCATTACTATTGTGAAGGATACTCCCTCATTTATTTATGTACTGGGTAGGGCAGCAGGTGCTGGATGCAGTGGTGTGCAAGATGGGCCCATCCGTTTTTCCAGGGAGCATCTGCTGTGGTGAGAGAGTCAGGGAGTGCGGGCGGGCATTCACAGTCAGCACAGGGAAAGCGTGTAAACGTATGTCCCTGGAGAGCTGATCTTCAGCAGCCTGGCTGCCCTGGGTATATATACCAAGGCAGGATTGAGGATGGGACTCCCCCGGGGAAGGGGTTAATCCTCAGCTCCCGCTGTCAGAGGCTTGCATCTTGCAAGAAGTAAATGCTTGGTTGTGAATAGTAGAGAGGTCGCTGAGCCAGCAAAATGGAAAATGGGGGACAGTAAAGCCAACAGTCATGGCGTTGAGGGAAAATCCTGCTGGAGGGACCCAGCCCAACTGCTAAGAGTGATCAGAGTTAAGGTTTTGTTTTTTGGGTTTTTTTTTTTGCTGTACGCAGGCCTCTCACTGTTGTGGCCTCTCCTGTTGCAGAGCACAGGCTCTGGACGCGCAGGCTCGGCGGCCATGGCTCACGGACCCAGCTGCTCCGCAGCATGTGGGATCTTCCCGGACTGGGGCACGAACCCGTGTCCCCTGCATTGGCAGGTGGACTCTCAACCACTGCGCCACCAGGGAAGCCCCGAGTTAAGGTTAAAACAAAGGGTATTCAGAAAACTAGATATAAGCGATTCGGAAAGGCAATGGAAACGACTGGCTCTCACTGGGGCCCGGAACTCATGAACATCTATTCCAAGCTTCCATTTTTCAGATGGGGAAACTAAGTCCCAGCAAGGAGGAGGTTACCTATCCAGTGTCCGTAGAGTTAATGTGTCAGCATATGTCAGAACCCAGTTGCCATCTTGGAATGAAAGGGAGAGAGGAGGGAATGAATTTGTTGAGCATCTACTCACTTTCTACATGAGCCATGAGCTTTACCCTTCAGTACTTCAATTTATTCTTATATCATCTCTGAGAGATTGGCAGAACTGTCATTCTCATTCTGTAGATGAGACAACTGAGACCTCTTCAAAAAATGAAGTAACCTCCTCCCCAAGACCACACATCTTAGGGAGAGAGGAAGTAAGGATTGGAACCCAGTTCTGTGTGTCTCCAGCACTCATGTGCTTTTCCCTCTGCCTCACTTCCTGTGCTCCACGCAGCCTCCAGGGTGGTTGCTTCTCATTTGCAAAATACATATTTGTTGTACAGTGAGCGGCAGTAATTAATGATCCATTCCAAGGCAGGGGAAACTTGCCTAGTAAGCACACACGAAAAGAGAAAAATACAGCAGCGCCCTTTTTCTGTGTAGATTTCTCATTCTCACTAATATTCGCAAAAGGAGGGAAAGGGGAAAAAATGACCTGTGCCCTGTCCTGAGTCACTGAGAGGAGAGACAGGAACCTCAGCCCTTTCCATGGAGGACAAAGAGCCTCCTTTCCCACCATGCTCCTGGCTCGCCCCAGCCGGACTTCCCGTCCCTTTGCCAGAGGTAACCACTTTACCTCTCCCATTATGAATCATGAAGGCTGTGGCTTGTGGCAGATCATAAATCAGTCCTGGGAGTCTCGAGGACAAATCCCAGGACTTTTAATCTTAGATGTGTTTAAAGTGGTGAATATTTCATGAAGGGGCTGCTGCATTTTAACACATCATTAGTGACTGCTGCCCCTCCCACTTCGGTCGATGATTCTCATCCAAATCTCAAGGACCTCAACTCTTTCCATCCATTTTCCTTACCTCTGGCAACAATCAATCAGTCCATTAGGTTGCAGGTACTTACAGCCCAGGCGTCCGGTGGAAGACCCTGGGATGTTATTGGAGAGGAGAATTATAGACAGCATCCCTGCCTGCAAGCAGCCCCCTCTTATATACCAGGTATCCAGAGAAGGGGAAAGGTAGATCTCTCTCTTTCCCTTCTCTTTCTCCTTTTAACAGTCTTCTCTGAATATTGTGAATATTCTCTCTGACCCATTTTTTTCTCCATATTCTGTCTTACTACTCTTTTAGTTCAACCAACATTTATTAAGCCCAGGCTGTTTGCCAGATACTTGCTGATGCTGGACATACAAAGATTAAGCAGCGTTGGAATGCATAAAACAAATTAAAGTGTTGACACTCGGAATACTTTGTATAAGGTCAAATGTATAACATGTATAGTGAATCAGTGAAAACAATAAGGCTATTCCATAAATACAAGCACTTAGAAATCAGGAGTTGTGGGCGATAGTTGTAGAACCTGTGTTACCCTAGCGTCTTATTCACTGCTGTGTTTTGTTTTTGTTGCACAAGGTTGAGAAAATCCTGATTCATAAGACTTGAAGTTGTACAAAGCATGAGCTTGTTAACACCTAGACTCACAGTCTCAGGGTCCTCTTCAATGAAACAAAGATGACAGGAGAATTTTTTTTTTTTAATGAGGTCTGCGTAAAATCTGTTTACCTGGCAACCAGACTTAAAGTGACAGTGCTCTTCATGTCCTCAATTCTAGCATGTAATATCTGAGTGTTTAGCCATCATTTTTTTTATTATTAAAGAGATTTGAAAATAAAACTTTTTAAGGAACATTAAAATCTAAAAGGTGCAAAGTCCCTAAATCTCCCCCATTGAGCTAGACGTTTCCATGAAACATAATTTGAAAACGCTTGGGTGAAGCCAACCAGAATCACCGTAGGACTGAAGAATTGCAGGTTCATCTGGGTATGTGCATGAGTGTGATTACCAGAAGATGGCAACGTGGCAGCAATAGTCTGGAAATTGATCAAAGCCATAGATAGTTAATTATTCATTCAACTCACAGTGTTGAGCACCTACACTGTTCTATGCAGTGAGTTCAGCCAGGGCACTTCCTACCAGTGTTTCCCAAAGTGTGTTCCACAGGACACTAATCTATGATTTGTTTCACCAGCAAGGCTTCCAAGGTGAAATAAGTTTAGGGAAAACTGTATACATTATCACCCTCATGAAGAATCATACTCTACTGGCACTAAGGAATGGTACAGTATTTCACAAGCTTTTTTTTTAATGGAATCTATTTTTGGTTTTTTAATGGAATCTATTTTTGGTAAAGCATCTGGGAACATTCTACAAATACGTCTTAGGAAAATCTAACAACTAATTGAATCAAAAAATACCCCCCAATCTTAAGGAGTGTACAGTGAAGCAAGACTAATAGTAGCAAGGAGGTAGGACCCTTCCAGAGTTTTGAACACTGAAGATACACCAGGAAACAAGACGTGTGCCCCCAGAATGAGCTTGGCTAATGGGAAAATATACTTAAGGCAGTGGGGGATGCTAGTGAGGATGTGTGCAACCAAGTGTAAGGCATGGCCAGAAAACAATGACACATGGATACATGGATGGACGGATGGATGGATGGAAGGGACGGGACAAGAAGGGAAGTGAGGGGAGGAGGGAAGAGGAGAGGAAACCCATTAAGACAAACAAGCAACAACAAAACAAAATAAAATCTGGAGATGGTAGATGAAAATAATTTTTCCAAAAGGGGAAATCAGAGGTATTTGGAGGAGGTGGCATTTGTTTTGGGGCTTACAAATGAACATGAATAGTTGATTCAGGTGGAGAGAATTCAATTTCCTGATTACACTTGTCGTGCAAGTGTACTTTATCATAATTTAAATATTTGAAAATAGGACTTCCATGTATAGCCACCAGGTTACTTTCTGTTTGCGTCGTTAGGCCACGAGCTCCTTCAGCATCTGGGTTGTACCTTTGGCCTCTGCATCCCCAGGGCTGAGCAGAGAGCCCGGCAGGGAGTGTGGTCAGGGCTCGCTGAGTGAATAAGTGAGTGAATGAACAAATGAATAAACTCTTTATTAACCACAGTGGCAGGTAGACCAGAACACCCTCTTTCCGTGACCTTTTCTACAACTAGCCACCTTGTTTTATTTTCTCAGAAAACAAGGAAACCAGAAAGAAGGGCAGGCAGTATTTCACAAGATCCTTTTCTCTTTTACAGGAGAGTGCAGCTGTCATGAAGGCTACACCCCTGACCCGGTTCACAGACACCTGTGTGTGCGCAGTGACTGGGGACAGAGTGAAGGGTGAGTGGCCAAGGACATCAGGGCAGAGACAGTGGAGGGCCCACCTTCCCTATGGCATTACCAGATGCCCCAAACTGCTCCACAAAGAGGACTCCTCCTCTGCAACAGTTGTGTCCCTGCAAAGCCTGATGGAAAGTGAATCCTATTTCCCACTGAATCACATTTTAGTATTACAGGTACATGATTGACGAATCTTCTAGAGAACAAAGGCTGAAGTTTAGCTCACCCTCCCAAACCATAGGTAATCAAAGACCACTCTCTTGAGTGGGCTAATGGAGAAGAATTGGGTTTTTTATACATAATCTCCAAAATGGACAAAGTGGACTTTGAAGTGCTGAGTCCTTCGGTGAAATGGAGCCTTTTATAATATAAATAGCCTTATCCAGTAATTACCTCTGCAAAATTTGATTGTTTGTAAAGCTCCTCCAAGCATTGTCCACATATGTATCCCACCTGCTTCTGACTAATAGCATCTTCTATCCCTTTTTCTTTCCCTGTCTCAATTCTTCCCACAGACCCTGGCCTTACACGACACTCGAGAGGGGCTATGATCTGGTGACAGGGGAGCAAGCCCCTGAAAAGATTCTCAGGTGAGTTGACAGTCTGTTGGGGCATGACGCTGGGGTATGGAGAAGGGTCTGATGGGAGGTGTAGTTACGCACCTCCTTAGTTTATCGAGCCTGTGCACTTCCGGGATGCAATGGCCCCAGTTGCTATGGGAATCTAATTCCCAATAATTGCTATGGGAATCTAATATCCCATTGTCTGGTATAGACATAAATTGAGATACTTGAACTGGAGGAGACATTACTGATTATCTAGTCCAGTGGTTTAAAAATATTCTATAGCCATAGAACCTCTTCCTGCCACTACCATGAAATCATGTGTGAAACTTCAGTACCTAAGCTGATGAAGACATACAGCAAATTAAGTGGCAGAACTGGGAATCGGATTTTGGGTGAAATTGATTCAGGGTCCATGCCTGTAACCTTTGTGCAGATTGCCCCTGCTGACTTAGCAGTCACTTATGGTCCTCCTGCTGGCTATCAGGACTGCTTGGGAAAGCAGAGCTGAAATAGTTCCTGTCCTCACAAAGCCCACTGGTAAATGGGAATCAGGATTTAAACTCAGGAAAATAAAACTAGCAATAGAGAACAATGCATGGGCTAAATGATTAACGGAGTGAAGAAGTGACCATCCAAGTCTGGGCAAAGTTGGCCAACATTATGCCTTGGAGAATGCAGGGGACTCAGTTGGGTGGGGGAGTGAGAGAAGGTTCTAGAAGGGAAGGGTGGAGGGGCCCCTTTTTTCTGTTTTGTCTCTGCTGCCCAGGGAGTCCCCCAATGGAAACTCTTACATTGCAGGTCTACTTTCAGCTTGGGCCAAGGACTCTGGCTTCCTGTCAGCAAAAGCTTCGTGGTCCCACCCGTGGAGCTGTCCATCAACCCCCTGGCCAGCTGCAAGACCGATGTGCTCGTCACAGAAGACCCTGCAGATGTCAGGTAGGGATGTCATCTCCAGCACCTGTACCACGGGCTTCTTAGAGCCCTGGAAGCCCCTCTGTTTCAGGATCTCAGGAACTCCTGTGGAAAAGTACTCTTCATGTTGTTGAAGTAGGCAGTTGCCTAGTCGATATATAAAACACTGTCCAATATGCCATGCTCCACACTCCTGAAAGTGACTTCCATGGTGGTACTCAGTGCCTTTATATTTCAACATAATTACTGTCCTTTGGGGTTTATATAAAACATGAGAGAGGCGACCACATTCTCTGGCTTATCCTGGGATCTTTAATGATCTTCTCTTATAAAAGACGATTACTTAATAGTATACTGGAGAGTCATGAAGGTAAAAGATTGGAGAATGAGGTGCTTTCTCTCATGACTCAGATACCGGGAACAGATTTTGGGCTAATCCATAGGTCTGAAATGTCCAGGTCAAATGAATTTGTTTTTTGCTCATGAAAGGATGGAGATTACATCTTTCCTTACACGTTTTGCACCCTGTACTTAACTTCCTTGTAGACTGACTCTACTGTGTTCTAATTAATTGCTTACATATCATTCTGTCTTATTATGTGGCGAATCTTTTAAGGTCAAAGCAAATAACTTATTTAGCTTTTTAATCCCCAGTTCCCAGTACATATCGGACAGCTACTAAAATGTTTATTGATTTAATTTTACCAGTGGTCTTAGATCTGATCCTAGCACTATTCTGGAGCTTTCTAATGGAGGTTCTTTTTTTCCCCCCTCCCAATTTGATTGAGGGAAGAATTCTAGAATTTAAATGTTACATAAAATGGACTCTGATTTTACTTTTGGAACTGGCTTGTACACAGCTTATGAGCTCCTGAACTGGAACATGGAAGCATGGCCCCCATACTTCCAGTGACTGTTATTCTCCTGTCAAGCTGTCTTCGGGTCATTTTGAATTTAAGATGCTATCATATATCCATGACATCTTGATAGGAAGCTCCTAGAACCCACGTCTCTTGCTTTACAATTTATTTATTCTCACCTTCTCAACATTTCATGGAGGGATGAACACAGCATGATTTTTTATTGGTATTTCTCCGAAGAGGTAATTTTAAAAAGGATAGAAAATTAAAGGGATAGCACTTAGAAAATGAAGTGGTAATTACTAAGAACTAAGATGGTTTCATGCACACACAAATTGATTCATGGCAAATTACCATTATTTCCATTTTTGATAGAATTGAGGTCAGTGAGACTTTAGTAGAGCATGTGCTAAGGTTTCTCTGCATTACGTATTTTAAAGATGGAGAAAAGACCATCTGGTTGAAGGATTATTCTCAAAGAGACCCTACGACCGTGTCTCAAATCGACTGAACAAAGGTCTACTAGCTTTCCTCAGAGTTCTGTACTGTTGACATTGAATGTGTGATTTCAGTGAAGTTATAAATGTCAGACTGGCTGATAGTAACACTCCCTCTGGAGTCAGATAGGTCTGGGTTACAGTCCCATCTCTACCATGGATGAACTATATGATTCTGGCCAAATGCAACTTACTAACTTTCCATTTCTTTGCAAAATGAGGATAATAACAGTGCCTACCTCACAGAATATGATGATAATACTACTACTACTAATAATAATAACTCATCTCCATTGATCATTCCCAAACCCTTTACTAACATTATCTCATTACATTCTTATATCAACCCCAAATGTGATGCTAATATTATTTTTATTTTACAAATTAAAAAAAAATCCGAGGCATAAAGGTGATACCTTCACTAGTAAGTAGTGAAGCCAAGCTTCACCTCATGATCTCTCCACCTCCTGAACCCATGTTCTTAACTATTTCATTGAAACACCTCCCAAGAATCGTTGTAATAATTAACTGTGTAAATGCTGGTACGTAACATACTCCCAAAGGTACAGGATTACCAATTTTAGATAAATTCAATTCCCGCTACAGTGGAGTTCAAGTAGAAACTGGTGATGGTGGGGAAGGCAGAGTCAGGAAGTTTGAGTTCTATGTCATACTGCTGAGAATGACCATGGTCTGTAGGATAATTCAGTTGGCTTTTCTGCTCCAATCTGAATTATTACATTGAACAGCAAACCAGACATGGAAAATAACAGAATATCAACCTACAGGGACTCTAAAACATCTTTGGAAATATTAAATCAAAATTGAGAAAAGTATAGTACTAGAATTTATTTCAGTGACAATATTGTTTGTAGTTGGAAGAAATACTGTAATAAATTGAAAGTGGTGAGACCTTTGAAGGGCGTGATCCGTAACGATTAGATGCTCTAAGCTGCTAGAAATGCTGTGCCTGGGTACATGGAGGGTGTGCCTTCACCGAGTCGGGACCAGAGCAGAGTGGCTCAGGATAGACCCTTTGAAGAATATTTGAAATGTATTTCAAATATTTGAAGAATGTTGGTTTGATTAGGTCACTAAATTATTATCCTGCTTGGGGTGCCCACACGTCTTTGTCTGGGCTTGGAGCAATTGCAGACAGCCTTTTAAGTCTTACCTTCATCTTACCTCTCACATACCCACTGGTTTCACTGTAAGGGTAGATAAAAGATTGCAATCATTGCCATTCAAAAGAATCTGTGCTACGTAGGTTGAGTTTTCCAAGCTGCACTAATAAACCTTGTTTGACATGACACCACTCAGGCAGGCATATCCTGAGCATTCAAAGAATTAATAAGTTTCAGTCAGATGCTATGTTAGAAATTAATAAATAATAGATCTTAATTATAGATAGCCAATAATATGCCAGAGAATCACAACTGAGAGATTAAAGGAAAAAGCAACGTCAGGAAGGAAGAGATAAACATTCCAGTAGGATTGGGAAGGAAAATGAAAAGGTGCTTTCCTGGTTGTTGTTTTTTTTTGGGTTTGTTTTTAAGTCTGTGACAGATTACTATGAAAGTATGGAATCTCAAACTAGGGGAGGCAGAGCAAGTTAGAGTCAAAAGTAAAGGCTCAACCCGCCCGGGTGTCTAAATCCAAAACGATGGATGATAGTAAATGTTGGTGAGGATACGGAACAGCTGAACTGCCATACCTTTATAGCAGGAACGCAAGTTAGTGTGACCACTGTGTAAATCTACTGGGCAGTATCTACTACAGCTGAACATCTACATATCCTACAAATAGGATACCATAAATAATATGTTCAAGAATACTAATGGTGGTATTCGTTTGTACCGCCAAAAAGCTGGGGGGAAAAAACACAGATGCCCATCAATAACAAGATAGTAGATAAATAAAATAAAACAGCAGAATGTTATTAACGCTCAGTATTAATGAGCACAACCACCACACACGTCACCAATGATGAATTTCACAAATATAAGATTGAATTATTGAAGCCAGACACAAATGAATATGTATGTTTAAATGAAGATCAAAAACAGTAAAAACGAATCTGGGATGTTAGAAAAAAGAAGAGGGATTACCTTTGGGTGATGGAGGGGACAGTGATTGAAGGGAAACATGCCAGCATGCTGGTGATATTTGATTTCTTGATCTGGGTGGTGGTTATATGGGTGTGTTCATTCTATAAAAATTCATCAAGCTGTACAGATACGATTTGCACACTTTTCTCTATGCATGCCATATGTTGATTAAACATAAAGTTTATTAGGTTAGGGTGTTCATTTTTTTAAAAAAAATCATAGGCTATAGAGCCCAACTGAACTGCGTCAATTCAAATCCCAACTCCACCACTTGCTTCCTGCGTGAGCTTTCCTGAAGCTGTGTTGGCCCTTGGGGATAATGTGGATAGAAGACTATCTATGCCCTACAGGGGAGTACTGAAAATTAAAAGATATAATACCTGTAAAGTACTGAGTTTGGCACATGGTGAACTCTCTAGAAGCATCAGTTATTATGTTTGTTGTTATTTTTCTCTCTTTCTTTTGCTGAAAGGACACATCCAATCTATGACATACCTTAAAATCGACAGGGTCTTAGTATTGAGAGTTTGCATTAATCCCTTTGTCATGGGGTTTGAGGAAGACTTAAGTGAATATATACCATCTAGTACGGTGTGGTAGTTCTAGCGGCTTTATGCATATGGAAATATTTGTAGAATGAGCGAAGAGGCACATGTGCGGTACACATAGAGTGCCTTGGGGATGGAAAAGGAAGAACGAATTCCTGACCAAAGGAATTAGAAAAGTATTTGCAGGAGAGAGAACATTGGCAATTAACCTTGAATTGAGCATAGGATTTGTCTGTGTGGAATTTAAGGTGGGAGAGAAGGCTTTCAAGTATGAAGGGTTGAAGGGCCAAGGAAATGAACTCTCCCCTGGACAGCTCCCATTCTTCGGCCCGTTCCAGCAGGAAGCTGCTGGAAATGAGATGTTTAGCATTCGAGACACTAATGACGTCAGCTACAAAGGTGGAGGCGCAAACTCTAGTTAAATTGCGTGCAGATTCCTTTCAATTCTGAAAACCGTAGCTGGGCCCCTCCTGTGTGCCAGGCACTGTGCCAGGTACCATAGGAATACTGTGATGAATAAGACCCACCTTGGCTTTCAGGGATCTCATGGTGTAGCAAGGAGCATGGAACAAGAGACTGACTTGAGAGATGAAATAAAAGATACTCGTAGAGAGACAACATGGCAAACAACACGTATTGCTACACACTGGGCCTGCTTCACAATTTCACCGAGAGCTCATTCTTCTTAGAAGACAGATGCAAGAATTGCTGTTATGGCTGGAATAATAATCATCTGCAAAGCCCAGCTTTTGCAGCCCCTGAGTGATTTTTCTGTGATCTCAAATCAATGAAAATGAAATGGTGAAAAACTGTTAATTCCTACACAATGTTGAAAGGATAATGGGGCATCAGGATACAAGCCAGCATCGCTCACTTGGTGACAGTTTTCACACTGAATTAGTTCTGGATAGAATTCAGAAGAGTTCCTTGTTCTTTTGGCCTCTTGATTCCAAGCACTAAGAATTTATTGAACACCTACCATGTGCCAGGCTAGGTATCAGAGACAGAGAA